TGAATAATGCCTGTGCTGGTCTTTCCCTCTCAAATTAGTATTCATGAGTCACTGGGAACGTTTTTCTATCTCGATCTTTGCATTTATCTCAGTAGTTGTACCATTTGATTGCTGATGTGTTTGAACGGAGCTGCTTGATTTTAATTCAATCTGGCACCTCTTTGCGGAGCTCTAAATTTTCTCTCAATGGCCACACGTTAAATGATGGCGAGCCCTGAAGGCTCTTCCACCAATGAGATTTCAGCCTTTATTGCTTTGTGCAGCCCATCCATTTTTGGTTCAAGGGCAACCTAGATACAGAGATCCCAGTTCAGAGACTCACCGGTGATGACACAGATGACCAGGCAGGATATATAAGAGAAGCCTTTCTGTTCTCTTCTGTACCACCCTGGTGGGTCTTGATACATTTTCCCTTCACTTAACAAGTGGGAGCTCACTCACTGAGGGAAAAGTGTCATCAAAGGCCATGTGTCTTGGTGGCATGGTTCTGTAACGTCTGACTTTCACTCCTCAAAATCTTTAGACGTAAGATGAACAGAACCATTTGACATACAAAAATTGCATCTGTTTTGAAAGCTAAAAGCTCTCAATCATTATTTGTGTGCTGTTCTGAAATAGGATACTGCTTAGAAGTGTGTATGTATGTGTTCAAGCTCCTTAGCTTTCAAGGCCAAGTACCCAATTCCCAAACACAAAGGTTAGAGCTTCCTAGTGCGCAGCAGATATCTGAACACATGCTATAAACACAGCTCACGGGGATGCAGAGCTTAACATGTTCTACAGCTCATTCCTTTTGACTGGGGAGCACCTGCTTTCCAGTGAGCGGTGAGTCGTGGGGATGGGGAGAAGCAGAACTTCTTTCTTACATGTAATTCTGGTTTGCTCCCAGGACCAGCCAGATTTCTAGAAAAGAAAAGACCTGGGGAAACAGCAAAGTACCCCTTAGACCCAACTGAAGAAGGCAGGACATGGAGAGATTACAGTGTATGGGCCTGGCCACCCTAATGCAGCGATGTGCTGGCCTCATTTCCCCAAACAGTATTTCATCTCTACGAAGACATTGGCCAGGTGTTCTATTCCCTGCCTTGGAAAGGAATAAAAAGTTATAGCTTTTTTTCCTTTTTTTTCTTCAAAGCAATCTTTAGAGAAAACAATTGTTCCCCCGGCCCAGCCCGATCAGTATTTCATCAGAATCAAGACTTGGTAAAATAAAAGGAAACGAATCCTGTTCTCTCAACTGTCCAGCATGCACCTATTCCCTGACTTTTTTCTTCCCATAATGACACTTCACTGGGTCTTAAACTGTGGTTTTTCTGAGAAGAAACTATGTTTTTAGAGTGCTTTTTCAAAAACAGGACTTCTTCTAGTGCCACTGTTCTTCCAACACGAAAATTTTTGCTGTCAATTTTTCTTGTATATACATCACCTTAAGTGGCTTTTTCCTCTTTCCAAAGAGAATTTATACTGACCCAGCTACCCTCACTCCCTCCCCACGTGACATAAGATGTCAAGGTGGCAGGCTGGGTGCTACAGCCATCAAATAGATAGAAACTAACAGTCCCACAAAGGGACCAAACTCACAACTGTGTAAGGAGTTACTGAGATAAGCATTTAGAGCCAGTTCTGTTAGACTGCAACAGGCACTTTGCTTATTCATCTGCTCTGTCTTAAAGCATTGTCTTTGTTTCCAAAGGACAAAAGTAGTTTATCAAAGAACCGGTTAATACAACCTTAAGATTCAAAGTTGTATACAAACAGACTTTTAGACACACTATTATGATATGTTATTAAAATAAATAATAGAAACAATTCCTTTTAACTTTACTTGAAATTTTAATGTTTCCAATAAAACTGTTTACTTCATTTAAAAAAATTGTAACTTAGAACCACTTGTATCATTCCCTCACATTGTACCCAGGTTACTGAAGATGTTATAAACCCTAAAATACATGTTTCACATCCTACCCCCATTCCAAACCAGTGAGAGGATGAGAAAGAGAGTGGTTACAATTAAACACGACTTAGACTTGGGGGGAAATGATTTGTGTTGAGAAATCAATGTGTTCATATAGACACCTGGGGATTTTAAGTCAAATGCACAGGCAAGCCAGTGCATTCCAACTCTGACATTCAAAGACTCTCTGAAGAATACTAAACAAAACCAAGCATGATCTTTTAGACATACTTCCTAACCACTGTTGTTTGTAAATAACAACTTGAAATTCAGCTCTGATTTACATCTCTTCTTTAAAAACTTGCTCTGAATTTATTTGTACTATGTCAATTATATGAATAAAATAAGAGCTGAGAAACTCTCCTTAAGAAAATGTTTTCGCTAGAAACCCTGTCCTGCTACCTTCTGAGCTCCTTGAAAATGAAAATCTCTGCATCTTCCAAATGACAGCCACCTTTTCGATGGAACCAAAATAGCTCTCTTGGGTAGAAAGCTTTCTGTCAGTCAAGAGTTCTGACAGATATCAGATTTGGCGTGCAGGGGGAAGGCAAGAATCAGTTCCCCGGTAGAAGGCTCTGTGACTGGTGAAGGAGCAAGACAAGGAGGGGCAACCTGGAACACAGTGTGCTCCTTAGACACTCAGGAAGCACGAGGAAACCAGTGGGCATTTCTGGAAATGACAGATAACCGAGGGGGAGAAGGGAGCCACTAACCCGTGGAATTTTGAAAGGGATGTGCAGTATACATTGAACTGAAAGGTTTCCATTTGTGAAAGGAATCAAATACATTCACATGCATAGGATTTTCTCTCCCTCTAGTGGTGGGGTGGGAGCCTTTGAAGTGAAACACTATCACTGCATTATACTGCTTCATAAGCAAAGATGAGTTTCCATTAGAGCACCTTTTGCCAATAAAATTAGGATTTTCTTTAGGCGTGCTGCTGTCTCTTATGGGAGTTTTCAGAAACACCTCCAACTCTTCTTGTTAGGGAGTGCATTGCCTCCTAAGTAAGCTGATTACCAGTGGTAAGGTAGCAAGGCTCTCCCTTTCCTTTTGGCTAAAAGGTGTCCATGCTCACTTCCAAGATACAGGAATCCCCCTCTCCTCTGATATTCTATCAGAGGTGGAACTCTCCTGACCCCAAGTCTGGGCCAGAAAAATCTGGAGCTAAATGAGCAAGTTCACCTAGAGCAAAACTGGGAAATGTGGAAACTCAGAGGACAGAAACTATGAAAAGACCTAAAGAGTGAGCTGAACGTGATAGAAAGGGCAATAGGGATCAATTTTGGAACAAATCTTCACTTCTACTTTGCAGTCTCTGTCGTTTCTCTCATTTCCAGTTTTGGTCACGTGAAAATACTTCTGGTATAGCAATTTGGATCAACGATAGAGGGTGAAAAAATAAAATGGATAGTAAAAATAAATAATGGCAATTTTAAGGACAGTAACTAAAACTGGCTCCATGAAAGAATTAAATTGCATAGAATCGTAACTATATAGGAGTATTAATGGGGTAGATTGTATGTTACAGCTGTCTAATTAATAGGTTATTTATTGATCAATAACTGCACAGCAGTGTGAAGTATGCAGGCTATGCAGCTCTTCCCCTGCTCCATACTTCTAGGCATCACAGATGCCTACTTGACTTCTCCTCTTGCATGTCTCCAAGGCAACCAAACTCATATTTTTCTGCAAATGCTTTTCTTTTCTAGTGCCCTTATTTCAGTGAATAACTCCATCACTCATCCAGTGTTACATGCCAGATATATCTAGGAGTTACTTGACCCCTCCTAGTCTTCCACCATCATATCCAATCCATCACCAATCCATCACTTTCAATCTTACTTTCTGAGGCTGTCTCACGTAGGTCAATTTCTCTTTGCCTCCATCACCACACTTTTTCATGGGCTTCCTACTACATAAAGGGCATCCACTCTATCCTTTGTCAAATGCATTCTCTGCATTGCACTACTTCAACAAATATTTGTGAGGAAACTACTTTGTACTCTGTTGACACTGTGTCGAATAGTACAAATTACCCCCACACATGAGATGCTCATAAGCACTATTTGGAGAATTAAAATAGGGTGACATACTAGAGAATGGCTGAATGGCTAAATTGTATGTGCAAACGCAAGAGATAAGAGGTAGTTTCAACAAGGAGTATGAGTTTCCAAGCAGGAAAATAAAGGAAGTTGGCTGGGATGATGGTATCTGCTATCACTGCTTCCTAGCATATAAGAAGACTGTTCCAAATATCGGTCAAGAACAAAAAAGGAGAACACAGGCATATCTCTGGGACACTGCAGGTTTGGTTCTGGACCACCACAATAAAGTGGAGTATCCCAGTGGCCCATCATCTTTCTGTTCTCGGAGGGGCTTGACTTCCATTTATAAAAAATTGTGAAGTGCAATGGAGCCAAGTGCAATAAAATGAGTTATGCTTGTAAGTAAAAATGCACTAGGATTAAGCTTGGTCTGTCTGTCTGCAGACATCTTTGTTTAAATGTAGCACTTAACACCTGCGTGAAAGCATTTTGTTAACTTTTCTGTATGGCTCCTCTACCAAGTATATAAGCTTACTGTTGCACCTCCAGTGCCTAAAAACTGTGCCTGGCATGTAAGAAGCATGCAAATAAATGTTTGATGCATTGATGAAATTAGTGTGTGAAGTGGGACATAAATCACTGAGCGGGTCTGGGGGTTCAGGAAGCCTTCGCGCTATGTCAAGGACGTCGACTTCATCTCGAAAAGTTAATTTATAGTCCAAAATCCTGGCCAGGTTCCCTAGCTTTGGATGCCCCTCCCGCAAACTCATACACGAGTTCAGAGCCACAAACAGCCCCAACACCCCGCTAGGAGGAGTCACCCCCCTCCAGGCGGAACCCCTCCGCTGCTCTCCTCTATTTCTCCTCCCCTCCCCTCTCCGCCAGGGTTCCGGCAGACTCCCATTCGCAGGGCTCCCCGGGAATAGAAGTCTTCCGGGCGGAGCTTCTAGAGCTTTACACTTTTCCAGAACCACGCTTCCCAGAGGCCCTCGCGGCAGAGGGAGGCTGTGTCACCTGACCAGGACTCCGGAGGGGCAATGGCGGCGCCCGTGCTGCTCTGGTGCTGCCCTGGAAGGCGTTGGGCTTTAGCCTGCATTGACCACAGTTCTCGCCGCGGAAGAGGGGCCCCGACAGGGTACCGGTGCAGTGGAAAAAGGGGGCAGAGCTCAGTGGCTCCGCAGCACCTCGTCACGGCCGGGAAGCCGAGGAAAGGGTATATTGTTTCATCCCATAATGCCCACTTCAGTGTGAGGTGGAACTGCGGGGCTGGGGAAATGATGGCCACTCAGCTCAGCGTTCAGTGTAGACGTTTTTTTGTTTAAGTTTTGAGCGGGAGGGTGTTGAGCTCTAAGTTGCAGCCCTGAAAGCACAGAACTTGCCCTCTGTTAGCCCCGCCTCCACACGTAAACCTCTTTCCTCAAATAGCTTCGCAAGTGTAAATTCCCAGGTGTTTTCTAGACTCCGAAGCTACACAGAACACTGGATCCAGTCGCCTTATTAATAGCAGCAGCAATGGGGTCTGTGACGCTAGAAGCGGGATCTTACTTAGCTGACATTTAGCGCTACTCTTGGCCAGCTGTGTTCTGAAGGCAGAAGGGGAGCCTTTACCTACAAGCTCTGGATAGCAATGGCTTAATGTCATTAGTCAGAAAGCACCACCTGTCTGTGGAAGTGTTTTGTGTTGAACAGATTTGTCTACACCTAAGAGTATGCAGCCAGTACAAGAACTCTTTCCTCTGGTTGAGTAGAGAGTTTTGTTCATTTTACTAGCTATCCTCTGAACCACTGTTTATACTTCACTATGTAAGACAGTTCCTTTTTAAATACTTAAGTGTAAGGCACATGCCTAATATTCCGTGAATCCTTTGAGATAGTGAGGTTGGTATTACTTTTTGCTTTTCAATTGGAGGAATAGAGGGAAAATATCCAGAAACATTCAGTTTCTATACTTTTCATAAATTATCTCACTGAATGGAAAGTATTTTTTCTGTCATGTAATGAGACACCAAAAATACTTTGAATAATGTTTTCGTAACATACAGGATTTTTAACAAAGTCTTTAATTTCGCCAATTACATGCTGTTAAAAAAAGGAATTAATCTCATGTAGTTATAAAACTTTATATGTTGAAATGATTGAGTCAAAATCTGATACAAGTAAACAACTAGATCATACAGAAAATTGCTTGGGAGAAGAGCAGGGTAGGGACAGAATTTTGGGGAGAGGATGTGTGAACAGGCTATGTGCAAGTTGTCCAGGATACACGGGTTTCAGAGGGATCTGGGTGTGCAATGTTCATGGAGGCATAACGGGAGTGACCGGGTAAGAGAGATTGTAGCATTTAACAACTTCTTCACAGCAGTCAAGCATAAACAAACCAGCAAAGGGAACTGGAATTAGATCTTGGCAACAGAAAGTGATCGGGTACCAAAAAAATGTCAAGTCTGCTCGTTTAATGGTTTCCTTTACACAAAATTTCCAGGAGAGTATCATGTAGTAGTGATTGATTACATTCATGTCACTAATCATTTTATTTGCAAGCCATTATTATAAATGAATTCAAAACATAACTGAAAATTTCTTTTTAAAATAATGAGATGTGCAACTATTTGCCATTATTTCTCTGGCAGTAGATTTCTGATATTCTTAAAATGTTTGCAAGTTCAGCTTTCTTCATTTATTGAGTGATTAATTGATAACACGTTAATTTAGAAAAGGCTGCTTTTCACTGAAGTCAGCCAAGCAGTTGGCAACACCTGATACCCATTTCTAAATTGTTTTAAGATGTCAAATTTTTCCTTTTTCTGTCGTTATTGTTTGTACAATGAACTCTATGCCACATCGTAAATGAATTTTATTTTGCCGGTCTTGTAGGTGTTCATTATGAATTGCTTTTTATTTAATCACTAAGACAAGATGACACACTTTTCAATGTAAGGAAATAAAATGTTAATAAGTTAAATACAAATAGGAAAGTAACATTTGTGGTTTAGGCGCATAGAAATTGACTTACAGTAACAGATCTAACTATTTCTTAACCATTATATCTTTCTCTTTAGTGAACACGAATGGGCAGCTGTGGTAGGTCTGGAAATTCATGCCCAGATCTCCTCCAATTCGAAACTCTTCTCTGGATCTCAAGTCCACTTTGTGGCACCTCCAAATTCCTTGGTATCATTTTTCGATGCATCTCTGCCTGGAACTCTGCCGGTAAGGTTTTTCTTTAATTCTCTCTACATTAATAAATTTCTCCTGTCTGTTTGAAAATGTTTCTGTTTTATTGAACATCGATAACGATTTCTTTGTTTTAATATCTTGACATGGCTCTTAGGAAATACTTGTTTAGGGAATTTTGGATGAAGGAGAATGGACTAAATGTTTTCTAAAGACCCATCTCTATAGTTGTTTTTAAGTCAAAGTATCGTGTGTATTCATATGTTTATTCACTCATTTCATACACATTTTGGAATGTCTACTAAATACTAGCTATAAACTGGAAAAAATGAGCAATAAACCTTGCCTTTGGGTTCAAAGGTGTAGCAGTTTGGGGAGGCGTATCATTTTGTGCACCAAAAAGTTGCTGTTGATCCCAGGTCAGGGCATGTGCTAGGCTGTGCGTTCACTCCCCAGTTGGGGCGTGTACTGGCGGCAGCTGTCAATGTTTCTCTCTCTTTCTCCCTTCTTCTTTCTCTCTAAAATCAATGGAAATGTGTCCTCTGGTGAGAATTAAAAAGTAAAAAGAAGAAGAAATTTGCCTAGGAAGGAGAAAAGAATGCAACAGGCGAAAGGAGACGTGGAAACAAGAAAAGTTTTTTTTAGCCCTGGCTGATGTAGCTCAGTGGATTGAGTGCAGGCTGTGAACCAAAGGGTCGCCAGTTTGATTCCTAATCAGGGCACATGCCTGGGTTGCAGGCCAGGTCCCCAGTGGGGGCCACATGAGAGGCAGCCACACATTGATATTTCTCTCTTTCTCTCTCTCCCCTCTCTCTAAAAGTAAATAAATAAAATAAAATTAAAAAAAAGAAAAACATTTTTGTTAGTCCTAATTTCCTTCATATTAAAGAGATTTGAGAATTTCAATGCTGATGAGCTACAGTCAACAGTAATGTATTGAACACTTAAAAATGTGTTTTAAGAGGGTAGATCTTATGTTGCATATTCTTACTGCAGTAAAATAATTTCCTTAAAATGCGGATGAGTAGGAGCCAATGACAGAAAGGGCAGTTAAAGAGGCATTTGATTAATATGGCAAATCAGACATATACATTTATTCTCTCTCTTTACCCCATGGAAATTCTACTGAAATAATAGTAAAAGAATTTAAAAGGTATAAACCTCCAAGACAATGAGAGACAAGACCTGAGTGCATGGGAGCAGGTAGACGAAAGAGGGCCTGACTTAGCAGAGCAGGGTTCATTACCACCTACAGAAAGGGACAGAAAACCGGCAGAAAGAGATGCTAGTGAGAAATGAGGTGTTGGGCCCTATGCAGCCTCAGAAAGGATGGAGATAGGAGCTTCAGTGTTGTGGAAAGCCAGAGAGACATGAAGACAGAGGGATAAATTCAGTCTGGATACAGAGCAGTTAGACCTAAGGTCCCCTCCCTGACTCTCTGCAACTGTGCCACCCCCACAGATGCTTAGAGTTTGGGGAGAAGTTCAACTGGTGAAACACTCCTGAAGACTTCAGGCAGAGCAGAAGGCACTTGTATTAGACAGTTTATGCTCTGAACTCCAGAGCCCTTTCAGTCCTTTACCCTGCCCAGTGTGAGGAGCGGAAGTGACCTGGCACAACCTTCTCTCCTCTTCCCCTCCTCCCCTCCGCCTGCAGGGACTTGTTTGGAATTACATGTCTCCATGGGGAAGAATTAGTGGTTGGGGGCTGAGGTCTCTCAGGAAAAAAGTTACCTGCTCACCCCAGTGTCCTGGAGTGAAGCTCACAAGAAAACAAGTCCTGGATATTTACATAGAACTTTTAATCAACATTTTGTTACCTTACTTTAAAACATAAATTGACAGTCAAAAATCACCAGATATTTGAGGAAATTCTACAACATAATAGACAAAGCCAAAAATAAAAGGAAAACTAAAATAAGAGGCAATAGATAATGCACAAAGTAAAAGAATACTTTAAAAAGTAAAACCTTTTATAAATATCCTCAAGAGATAAGAGAAGCTCACTGCATCCTTGAAATAGGGGCATGGCGCTACTTTTTAAAAATGAACAGTCAGTAAAAATGATTTCTTAGAGGTTGAAATTATGGTGATTCCCCCAAACCCAAAGTTAGAAGATGAATCAAGAAAATCTAGAAAGTACAACACGCGTACAAAGAATTGAGTAATAGGGGGAAACAGAAAATGAGATCAATCCAAGATGTCCAACATGTAATTAATAGGAGTTCCAGGAGAGAGAAAATAGGCAAGAGGAAACTATCAAACAGTAACACAGATTAGTTTCCCAGAACTGAAGGACACACATCTCCAAACAGAAAGGGCCTGCCAACAACCCTGAGCAAGGAGTAAAAATAGTCTCCTGGGCAGGCGTGTCTTCATGACATGTAAGAATTGCAGGGATAAAAATAAGATACCAGGACTTACAAAGGAGACATGAAAGGTTGCCTGCAAAGGACAAGTAACCAAACATTGGGCTGACGCAGTACTTAATGCTAGAAGAAAATGGAAGAGTGCCTTAAAAAAAAATCTTAGGAAAAAAATTATCCAAATCTCGAATTCTGTACCCTCTACTATGAATCAAGTGTGACAGTAAAATAATGATGTTTTCAGACAGGCAGGTTCTCAAAAAAATTCCCACTTTCATGGGAACTTCCTGGAGGAATGAAGAGGTTCCAGATCGTTAGCTCTGCAGCAGGCCCAGAGGGCCTGATGGGAGGTGAGGGTGGAAGACTCCAGAACAGGGAGGTTTCAAGAAGAAAGGGAGGTGGAGTGGGAACAGCAAATGCCTAATGTTTGTGTATAAAAAAGATTTTACATATAAACTGGAGTCTCTGAGAATAATAAGCAATAGGTAATAAAAATGAAGCAAATGAAAGAGACCCGTTAACTCTAGGTAACACTAAACATTCAAGAAAGGAAATGCAGGCAAACTATACCTAACAGCTCAGCGGAGAAACATTTACATAATAATATGGAAGAAGCGCCAACTACCGATTTAACAAAAATTGATATAACTTGGATATTGGGAAATAAACGAACTAGATTCTTATTTACCATAACTAGAAGTCATGTTCTAAATTGATAAACTAAGAAAAAAGTAATGTAACATTTTTGGCCACAGATGAGGGGAGGCCTCTTCTTCCTTTTAGGTCCTTATTTGGTCAGCTATTTTTTCGTCTTTGTTTCTTGGCTAGTGAATATTTCCTGTTACTTTAAAAAAAAAAACCCACAATGAGTGAAATATTTAGAACTCTCAAAAGTCAAAAGTGTTTTCAACACAAATTTTAAACGCTTTATATAAAGATAATATTAATAATCAAATATTACCTCTACTGGTTCCTCAGCCTTGTGCTGGTGACATTTTTCTTCTTTCTTCCAAACAGTGACAGACTCGCCTATCCGATCCCTGTAACACCACCCTGCACTGCTCTTAGGAGGAGTGAGCTCGTCCACATTCTAGATCATTCACACCCAAGCTCATGCATGTGGTGGGTTTCCATGTTTCCTCTGGGGGTGAAGTGACCAACCTGCCTACCACCCTGGTTGTTTGGACTTCGGTGTAACTCAGCCTACCTGGAGCTGCACTTAGGGCCAGTGTGTTTTGTTCTTAATAGAAATATGATAAAGCGACAAGCATTGGTTATTATTATGAGACAGAGTAAAATATAAAAGTATTGCAGAATATCTCACCTTGTAACTTACATAAATGGAAATGGAATAGGCCACGTCTTGTGACTCCATGTCCTAAAAGCGAGAACACTGTGTCGTTGGGACAGTTTACCAGGTCTGTCTTTTTCCCAGAGTAAAGGAGGATTGTCACAGTACAATCCTCCCTTGTCACGGTGCAAATGGCCACGAGCCTTGGTAAGAAGGTGGTGGATTTGCCAGGGTCCCTGGCGCAGCATGTTATTTAAAATAGGAAGATAGATGCCAGACAGGACAGCTCAAAGGTCCGAAGGTGGTTCTGCCAGGAAACAGGACTGGCAAGTGAGGGTGGTGGCAACAGTACTTGTCTGTAATGCTTTGTCCACCAACTAAACATTGGCTTTAAAGGAGTAACGTACAGGGGAGAGGACAATACCAAGAGAATCAGTTCCTGAGACATCGGGGTGTCCCCAGAGAACTAGGAGGCAGACAGCTCTCCCACTGTAGCCTCAGGGAAGATGCGCCCCTTTGCCCGCTGGTAAAGGCAGCTTTTTAGGTTGGGTTGTGAAGTTTGAGGAGACTCCCATCTGATTGCTTCCCTTTCTGGCAAACACTGTTTCTTACATCTCACTCCCCTTTTGGTGCTCCTTCCTGCCTGTGTTGTTATTTCTTGCTCTGGGTCTGTGGGTGATGTGCTCGCGGCGTTTGTCTTTGCCGCCAGGCCTTTCTGTTTCTCCCCAGCTCTTGAATGATAGCGCGGAATTCTAAGTAGACAGTTATTTCCCCTCAGCACTTAGAAGGCGTGATTCCATTGTCCTCAGGCATCTATTACTGCCGATGAGAAGTCTGCAGGATTTGTGTGTAATCTGTTTATTCTCTCGGATTGTTTTACTCCGGACGTGTCTGGCTGTGAGTCTGCTTTTATTTCCTCTGCTCAGTACTCAGTGTGATTTTTCCTCTTGAAAACTCTACCCTGGCCTGTGGAGGTGACTCTGTGGGATGAATTGGTGGTGGCCTCTGCCAGGGCCCGCTGGGTTCTGTTGAACTAACAGGTTCTACGTTATTTTCCTCATTCCTAACTGCCACACAGCTTGGAGAGCACCAGGATTCAAGCCCCACACCCAAGCCAGGGCCAGGGCTCTGATTTTTCAAGACTCTCTTTTCATTCCTGTCTTGAGTTGGTTGGCCTTTTCCGTGTTAGGTGGTCCGGTTGGTGGCAGGTTTTGTGATTGTACCAGGAGTTTGTGGCCCCCACGTGCCTCCGTTGGCTCACACCTTGACTTTTCCCAAGGTTCTTCATGTTGCCAACACCTGGTGTGTCTCATCAGCCTGGTTAACAGTGATGATAGCAGGAAAGTCAACTAACACTGACAGAGAGCTTGCTATGTGTGT